CACACACACACACACACACACACACACACACACACACACGCACCTCTCCATAAACACACATTCTGTGTTCCTATCTGCGCTCTCACGGCACACGCGCGTAAGCATGTAAAGATAGTAGAAACTGAAAAACCTCCATACTACGCATATGTGTAACAATTCCAGAGTTGAATGGTGTTTTGTTGTTGTTGTTGTTGTTGTTGTTGTTATTGATAACATCTGGTTTCGATGCGACATGTACATTGTTATAGCCCGAGCAATAGATCGATTTCAGTACTGCCTATATGAAAGAGCAGTACCTCTACTCGTAGTCTTTAGTGTTCAGCCCACTAATGCCTGCTATACCCTTCACATCTTATTCCTTTTTGCCGCGATATATGATTGATCAATTTCCCCCATCCTTCATTCGGTATGAATCATTCTATGAAAGCTGTAACTAAATAATAATAATAATGTATAATTTATTATAAATTATTAATGTAGTATATGTGTGTGTAATTAAAGAATTAATAAATTGTTTAAGCAACTTTTTAAGTGAAAAACTTCGCAGCTTGCAATGTAGCAATCTGTTTAATAGTGGAAATGACATGATGTTAGTTATGAGCGCAGGAGAATTTTCACTGATTCAGTGGGTTCCTTAAATCATTTCTATCAATAAATTTTATATAATAATACAAGTTTTATCAGGAAACTTAACGCAAAAATAAACACAAATAGCGACGTTTTGAACTTGAGCATTTGTTAACATGTAGTCGATTGAACAACTAAATTTGGCCAAATAAAATAAAAACCCGTCTGTATAAATGTGTGCGTTGACTGAAGGTGTTGTGAATAAGTTGATGTGACCTTCGTCAGTTGCTGGCATACTGAGCATTCGCAGGAGCCATGCAGTTGTTAGAAACATAATTAAGATTAATTATAGGATTTGTGTCGAGCTTTTAAATGTCAAAATAACCCAGTCACACTTGAATATATCATAGATATATTTATATTCTTTTAGCAATTCAAATAATCTGTTAGAATCATCACGCAGTAATGTTGCTACATGCGCGAGCTAACATATTATATACGAAATTACCGCTCTCCGATAACAAATGATCGTACGGCGTGACGTCACGTCTATCCTGCCAGGCCGCCGTAGCCACATGTACAGGCACTTGGAACGTTTCAACAGTAAAATGATGGTATATAAACACAAATGTATTTACTACAAAAATGTCCTAATGTTTCACTACTCTCTTTCGCCTATTATTGCCGATAATTTCCTGTAAATGCCGTTCAAATGCTCCTCTGCAACACACACGTAAATCGCACGCACGCCGCTGTGCACAAACAACAAGAATGAAGCGAAGTAAGATTAACAATAATAACTTTTTCGAGAAAAAAAATATCTTGCAAAAAATTTATTTAAAATGAATAGGAGTTATCCTAGCATATATTTATATGATAACTTTTTATCTGTAGACATCATTTAAGATACAGGAGGAAGACCTTGCATGTAAGGTCCCGGCTGCGTATACAAGACAGTACACAATCTGGCTACGTTAGTGTGTTAGCGCATGCGCAATATCTCACTAGAGGAGTTATATTTTGTGATGAATATGTATTTAAAATGGTTAGGAGGTATCTCAGCATATATTTCCTTAATAAACATTTATTAGTAGACTTGTGTTTATAATTCGGAAAGCGCCCTAGCATGTAGCGCACAAAACACATACTTTATGCCCTCGCGTTTTTTCCCTTGCCTCCCCTGTCCCTCGCTCTGCCTCCTTGTTTTTCTACCGTCCCCAGCTATCTTTTCTACCGCCTCTCCTCAGTCTCCCATCCCCTCTCCCCCGCAGCAAGCTATATTAGGAAGTTTTTCTCAGACGGCCTTGCACACCTAACACGGTGCGCGCGCATGCGCAATATATACCGAGAGAAATCGTATTTTGCAAATATTATGCATTTAAAATGAAGAGGAGTTATCCTAGCATAGGTTTATATGATAATATTTCATCAGTAGACGTCATTTAAGAAATAAGAAGAAGACCTTGCATGTAAGGTCCCCGCTGCGTATACCAGCCAGTACACAATCTGGCAACGTTAGTGTGTTAGCGCTTGCGCAATATCTCACCAGATGAGTTATATTTTGTTATGACTATGCATTTAAAATGATTAGGGGCTATCTCAGTATAGATTTCCTTTATAAACTGTTGTGTTTCTCACAAAGAGTCAATAAATAAATCGTTTATTGTACAACAATAGTATCGTTTATTGTACAGCAATGGTATGGTACGACGATAAGAGTTGCATAATCGCACACTATCTGTGATCAGTCTTTATAAGTTTAGAAAACGGTTCTTCGAAAGAATCCTCGTTGTTATTACTGGAGGCATCCATCTTCGCACAGCCCGTGGCGCCATCTCTAGTCAGTTCTGCCATGTTCGCGAATGTTCACTTTCGTGCATCGCCACAACATAAACTTTTATTAGTTGACATGTGTTTATAATTAGGAGAGCGCCTTAGCATGTAGGGTACAAAACACCTACTTTATGCCCTCGCGTCTTTTCCCTTGCCTCCCCTGTCTCTCGCTCAGCCTCCTTCTTCTTCTACCGCCCCCAGCTATTTTTCCTGCCGCATTCCATCGGTCTCCCATTCCCTCTCCTCCTCACAAAGCTATATTATGAAAATTGCTTCAGACGGCACTGCACGCCTAACACGGTGCGCGCGCATGCGCAATATCTACCGGGAGAAATAGTATTTTGCAAAGATAATGCATTTAAAATGAAGAGGAGTTATCCTAGCATAGGTTTATATAATAACATTCCATCAGTAGACATCATTAGTGAAATAAGGGGAAGACCTTGCATGTAAGGTCCCCGCTGCGTGTACCAGCCAGTACACAATCTGGCTACGTTAGTGTGTTAGCGCATGCGCAATATGTCACCAGATGAGTTATATTTTGTTATGACTATGCATTTAAAATGGTTAGGGGCTATCTCAGCATAGATTTCCTTTATAATAATTTATTAGTTGACATGTGTTTATAATTAGGAGAGCGCCTTAGCATGTAGGGTACAAAACACCTACTTTATACCCTCGCGTCCTTCCCCTTGCCTCCCATGTCCCTCGCTCAGCCTCCTTCTTCTTCTACCGCCCCCAGCTATCTTTTCTGCCGCCTTTCCGCAATCTCCCATCCCCTCTCCCCCTCAGCAAACTATATTATGAAAATTGCCTCAGACGGCACTGCACGCCTAACCCGGTTCGCGCGCATGCGCAATATCTCCCGATAGCAATCGGTATTTTGCAAAGATTATGCATTTAAAATGAAGAGGAGTTATCCGAGCATAGATTTATATGATAACACTCCATCTGTAGACATCATTTAAGAAATAGGAGGAAGGCCTTGCATGTGTAGCGTTTTCGCCGTCTCCAATTATGTCTCGTTTTTCTGTCGTACCCTTCACACGGGCTTGATAGGGCCCGTGCGTGCGTTGTGTTGTCCTAATCTCCCTTCGTCGTCTACACCCGACGTCAGCTCGTAAAGGAAAGGCTTGCCGAAGACGTGAAGTTCAGAAAGAGGGCCGAAGATAGAAGTAGAGTGATAATATGACGGGACAAGCCCGGCTGTTTATTATGGGTTGACACCCAGACGCACCAATTATGTAGTTCACACACAGGCAGAGAGCCAATGCTCGGATATACGTACAATGAGCGCGGCGCCACCGTTACTCACTCTCGCCTTCTCCCACGCGCGCTCTCTCTTTCTCTTTACTGTTTCACTCCTAACTCCGCTGTTCAACCGCTGGCGTCTACACTCTTTGCTCGACTCCGACTGCTAACTCGCATTCCCCGACAGTCAACTAGCAACTCGCAAGTCTCAACTGTTTCACTCCCACGCGCGCACGCGCGCCGGGCGCGCGCGCACCCTCTCTCTCTCCCTACTCGCAACTCTCTCTCTCTACTCGCAACAACTGCAAACTGCTCCTAACTGGCAACAACTGTTTCGTGGCAAGTGGTCCCCTCAGACAGTCACAGTCGCTTATATTTTACATCATCACGTGACGTCGTGACGGATACAATAATGTCTCCCAGATCGCATTCCTT